AGATCTAATGTTCTTTCTTCCCATCCTGTTTGGAAAGCACAAATACAGTTTTTGCCTGACTGCCTCCTTGTGAGCTTATAGATCTCAGTTTACTTTTTTATGAGATAGTTGGTAAAAAAAGGAATTGCTTGACCACTTTCAAATGGGAACAAGGTCATTGTATTTTAACAGATTTTGGCCCAACTAGCATAGTTATCAGAAGGGATTTTTCTTTTAATTATGAGGTAGCAATCCCAGTCTTAAATTGCTACTTAAAAACTGTGCCCCACTGTAGGATTAGAAAAATCTCTGAATAAGTGAAACTTTTTGTTTTGCATAGATAGTAACTATTATATTTACAGTACCAAACACAAATTCTTGAACTAGTATCGGATTAAATTGATTTGAAGAGAAGTTCAGCCTAGGGTCCTTTGCCCTTCAATATTCACGATAGTTTCCAAAGATGCTTACATGGTCAGAAAAAATACCTAAATAGAAATGGAAGGATATTGGTAGCACAATTCACAGTCGAAATGCCAATTTCCTAAATATATTTACAAGTCCTAAAATTTGATAATGAAAGGAACAAAACCTGCCTTAAATTGGGCAAAATAAATTAATTGTTGATGGCAAAATGGTAATATGCTCAACATGCCTCATAATTTAATGAAATAAAAATTAAAGTGATCACAAGATAAGTTTTTCTATCTACCAATTTCCAAAAACAGCAACAATTTTTATACTACAAAACATAGATGAATGTGATGTGAAAACAGCCCCTTTCGTACAGTGGGAGTTTGCATATTGAACAGTTACTTTGCAAGGCAGTTTGACACATTTGGCAGATTCATTCCGTCAAACATTTTTGAGTACCTCTTTGTTTCAGACATTTCTTAAGCCTAAAAATTGCATTAGAAAAAAAAGATTATCAACATGCCAAAACTCATGTATACTGTATTCCAGGTGTGGGGCATGGGCAATACACAAATTAATGGGTTAATCATGCACTTCTTTAGATGGTGCTAAATGCTATAAAGAGCAACATAAAACAAGGAATGGTCTATTAGGTATAGAGTGAAATGGTCGTCACTGCAAAGGTGGCATTTGGCTAAATAGCTTGAAGATATATGTCAGTGAGGGCCTCCCTGTTGGTGCAGGCGGTTGGGTGCTACACTGTGAAGCTGTTTGCAGCCTCTGCAGCATGGGTTTGATCCCGGCCCGCTGGCGAGGGTCCCACATGGCGAAACAAACCTCTCCTGTCTTGCCCACTGCTTTCCTCAACAGCGTATTTGTCAGTCTCCCTGTTCTGTTCCCCACTCTGTCTCTGATGAATCCTCTCACACTCCTGCGCATCTGGCCTATACCCCGTTTCTTGTATAAATAAATAAATCTTTAAAAAAAAAAGATGTATGTCAGTGAAATTGCCTGTTGGCTATCTAAAGTGAAAAAAAGTCTCAGGGTTTGAAAGCAGGTTCCATTTTTGAGTCAGAACATCATTAATTCACTGGGGAAGTATCTTTTGACTGATCAGATTTAGAATGGCTATACAAAACTTTAGGATTACTAATTTGTCTGTTATTTTTTTTTTCATTTTGTCTGTGTTTAAGAAATGATTTATGAATATTTTATATTTAAAAAAATCTTTTTTAAATTTTTTTAAAGATTTATTTTATTTATACAAGAGCTGAGGTATAGGCCAGAGACAACGGGAGGGTGAGAGAATTAACAAAGACAGAGCGGGGAGCAGAACAGGCAGACGGACCGAAAGCACTGCTGAGGGGAGCAACGGGAGAGACAGGAGAGGTCTGCTGCGCCATGTGGGTATCTCCCTGTCCGGCCAGGAATCCAACCGGCACTGCAGAGGCTGCAGACAGCTTCACAGCTCTGCACTCAACCTTCTGTGCCACTGGGGAGGCCCTATTTAAAAAAAAAAAAAATCTTTGATCATTGTTGGAAACCATCCTGAAGAATATAAAATCCTTGGCAACCAATCCTTTATTGCATACCACTGTAAGTTCTCATGAGAGATTCTCTTGTCAATGTGATGGCCTCCAGACCTTAAGGCTTTGTTCACTTTCTATGATAGTATTTGTTTTGTTTGTTTGTTTGTTTATTTTTTTAAGATTTATTTACTTATGCATACAAGAACTGGGCTATAGGCTAGAGGTGTGGGGGTGTGTGTGAGAGGAATCACAAGAGATAGAGCAGGGAGCAGAACAGGTGGATATACTGAAATTCACTGGTGAGGGTAGCAGTGGGTGAGACAAGAGAGGTCTACTGTACCATGTTGGTCAGCTCCCTGGCCGGAGATTGAACTTGTGCTGCACTGGCTCTGGGATAGCTTTATAGTGCTGAGACTTAACCCCTTGCACCACCAGGGAGGCCCTCTGATAGTATTTGATGGCTGCTTTTGGTTGTGTATTTCTGCTATGCTAGAATCTATATTATCACATGTCCTCACTGTATTCTTATTACCCTTTGAACACCTTGAACTCTGAAATGTCATGTGTGCAGTCCATCCAAAACTACTTTTTTCCTTTCCCAAAGGCACTTATACTGTTCCATGTGACAACCTATACCCTGACTTTTGCTGATATATTTAGCATGCTGAGCACTTGCAAATTCTTCAACCTGCTCATGCTAAATTCATTGTATACTTTAAATTAGTTTTCATTTTCATTGGCATGTCTATAACATTCAGTCCTGGTATTCCTTTCTCATTCTCATTGCATTTGTTTCTCTTGTCTTTTGCACCACTCTAAGTTTTTCTGATCCCTTTCTAAAGGTCCCTGCTCATTAATCTCATGTGAGATGTTTTTCATCCCTCACAAATAAACAAATGTTTCTTTAATTCAGTGTGAATAGTAAATATATTTAGCATTCATTAAGACTGATTCTGAATCAGAATTAGTAGGGCTTTGATTATTATGATATAGGAGAGTGATATCAACAAGATGACGGTATTGCTATGTCAGACTTCTCTGCACAAGATCAGCTAGTAACTCATTTAGAAAATTCCAGAACCCAGGAAAAGAGGTTGAAGCAGCCCCCTGGACAATAGAAACTGAAAGGGATCTCATTGGAATGAGGAAAAGGATAGTTGCATGTTGACAGTGTTGTCCCCTCCCTAAGGACAGCACAGCCCCTTAGTGAGAGGGCTGACATGACCTGTAATTTTCCAGAATGAAAATGAGAATCCAACTTGATATCCACCTCCTCCAGTATTAAATGACGATTTCTAGAAGGTCTACTCGGTACTCACCTCAAAGGGGTCATCGTGGGGTCTGTGGAGCTCAACTGTTACAGGGCCAAGGCCAAAATAGTGGGTCATTTGCTCTCTAGGGGAAGAATTTATCAGAACATGAGGTGTAGTTGCACCAAGCAAGGTTTAATTAATTCATACATGAGGGAACCAGTGATGAAAGAGAACCAGTTCCTCAAAGGGAATTAGAATGAGATATTTAAAGGGTAAGTCCGTAAACTAGGGAAAGGGAGAACATCATCATAGCTTGTTTGATACTGGGTTAAACCCAGGCTTGCACAGACAGGTTACATCCCAACTATATACGAGGGCTCTCAGCCTTCTCCCTTCAGGATATTGTGAATAATCGTTAGTCAGGATCGAATGGTTATTGATTATCATGGCTCTTCATGGTCAGTATGGTGGGCCAAGTTGTTTGGACAGGGCTCACAGGCTCATGCTTTAGTATGTTCAAATAGGACTCAGGATAACTCATCCTGCAAGCTTACAATTTCTGCTATCTAGGTTGTCTCACAACTCCCAGCTGTCATATAGAGAAGGGATGCTTGATTTTCAGAAAGCACTGCACAGATGTTGGCAGTCTGATTTCCTATTTGCATCAGTTCCATGGACAGACACAATGGTCTGTATATACCTCTCCCCATCTATACGGAGTTTCTTTAGCAGTTCTTATGATTTGGATCCCCAGCCAACTGATCTTAATGGTCATTAGAGCATTTTCTACAGACCCACCTGGGTAGGTAAACAAATGTGTTGCTTTCCTTAGCATAGCTAAGGAATGTGTTGCTTTTCTTAGCATAGCTCCCAGTGCTATACCACTGGGGAGCATAACTACAGATATCTGGAAGCCCTGAGGCATCCCACTCAGGAAGGGATTCTAGCAAGCAACCCTAAATATTGAATGAATATAGTCTCTACACCCATATAGGCAGGGAGCCTGAACAGTGACCTGACCAGTCTTGGAGTCTGTAATTTCCCAATCACAGACCACAGTCTAAAACCCCATCCAATGCCAAATTCTCACAAACAAAACATAAAACAAAAAGAAAAAACAACTTTGCTTAATTACCAAAAGCAACCTGTGAACTTACCCGATCACAGAGCATATCCTGTGGCGCCACTTAGCCAAGGTACCCTTACAGTGACATTCAAAGAATCATCTGCTAATCCTTCCTAAACTTTTCCACAATATTGAAGAAGAGAAAACACTTCCCAACTCATTTTACAAAATCACTTTCTCCCAACACCAAAGTCAGATCAGAACACTAAAAGAAAAAAATATAGGCTGATACCTCCAATAAATATAGGCACAACCTTTTTCAGCAAAATACTAACAAATCAAATTGAACAGCATATTGGAAGGAGAAATCACTATGATCAAGTAGAATGAATACCTGGGATACAAGATTGATTCAATAAATATGTTACCCTACATTAAAACCTTAAAATATGTTACCCTACTTAAAAAGTTATTGCAATAGTTGCAAAAAAAATGTGAAAGATTCAGTGTACTCAGTATTTGACAAGAGCCAAGAAAACTCAATGGGAGAATTGCAGGTTTTTTTTAATTAATGTTTTTTTGAGGGATACTTTGATTGTCACTTGCAAAGTAATAAATTAAACTCCTATTTAGAACACTTACAACAATTAACTGGAAATGGAGTAAAAGGCTAATTGTAATGCGTACAATCATGAAAGCCCTAAAGAGAAACATGGGGACATTTTTTTTTTTTGACTTCTTTTTTTTTTTTTTTTACAGCTTTCTGAATGACAACAAAAGCAAACACAGAAATCAGTGGGACATAAAGCAAAATTTTATTCATGGCAAAAGAAAAGTCAACCTGCAGAATACAAGAAAATATGTGAAAATATTATGCTTGACAAGGATTTGAAATACAAAATATTTTAAAAAGTCATGTAGTTTAATAGCCAAAAGCACACCTGTTAAAAGACAAGTGTTAAGAACTGGTAAAGATGTGAAACAATGAGAATCTCTAAACACTGTTGTTAGTGATATTAATCAGTGCAGACACTAAGGGAAACACTCTATAGATATCCCTGGAGAATTAAAGATGGAACTACCATATGATTCAGTAATGCACCTAGATCGCAGTACCGTCTCCGTGGAGAGAGAGAATAGCAAAAGAGAGGGATAGAGGTAGGAAGGGACACCTCTATTTGAATTTATAAAAACTGTAGGGTCTCAGTTTTTTGTTTGTTTGTTTTAACTGAGCAATAAGTTGGGGCGGACAAAACTCTATTTAAAGTATGTAGACCTATCTAAGCATCTCATGGGTAATAGTAGGATATGGGAAATAATGACAAAGAACAGTTAATATAACCCACTTTGAATATCAAGCTTGATTTGAGAATGTTGTTTGTTTGTTTGTTTGTTTTTTATATCAGGAAATAAGTAGACCACTTGTTAGGCATATAAGACAACTGCAGTGCTCACTTTTAGTACAATTTATATAAATGTCATTATAATTATTTTTATTTCAAGTATCATGATTGTTATATATGAAAACTTTCTAGATGTCATTTTGAGATAAAATTAAATGTTCTAAATTCATTGTATCACTGATATGCTGTAATAATTGCTGTTGGAACTTTTGCTTTTCAATCAACAGAGGACAGAAAAACTTTCCGTGACTTCTGTTTGCATTAGAAAATTAATTGAATTAATTTCTCTAGTCATTAACCTTCCACATGAACTTACTGATCTTTAGTAGAGCCTTGATTGGTATCCATTAAAATAGAATATAATTAGCACCATTCTAATTACATCCAAACTCATTTCAAGAAATAATTTATTGTTCTTTCCATCCCATAGAGAGAATAAAAATTGCATATTTTTATTTGGCCATTAAAAAGGCTACAAAAATAATGAAAAATAGTGTCCATGGATTAATTAAGTGGTAAATATTATTTATTGGCTTTTGCATAATATATTAACTCACTTCTATATAATTGTTGACTATTTCATGATTATAATTATGAAAAAACCAAAACAAACTATGCAGATGCATATATACAGATATATAAATATATCTAATAGAAATACATCTATATTATAAATTTATCATGAAGTTATTATTTATTTGTTAAATAAGCCATAGTCATTCAAAGTATGTCTATATAGTTTTAATTATTAAAAATCAAATAACTGAAACTAATGAATGTCCCTATAGTTTTGACTTTTCAGATATAATGAATTATTGATGTGATAAGAACTTTTCAAGGTAAATGAAACACTGTACAAAGATTTCTGCCATTGAGGAATTGACATTCTATAGATGTTACACAATAATCAATAAACATAATAAATAGTAAATGGAATGACATGTTACAAAGAACATGGTGTTAAAAGCAGGAAAGCTAATCTAGATATTACAGATGGTCTGTTCTATATATTATTTATATAATATATTCATTTTTTTAAATAATAAATTTTATTTTTATATTCCCCATACAATTGCAACCCCCCCATTCTGACCCCAATCCCTCCCCTCCTGCCCCCCACCCCCCAAAAAGTGTCTCTGGTTCATAGTTTTTTGTTGATTTTGATTTTCACTTTCTTATAGTTATTCATTTTCCTGGTCTCTTATTTAAGTTTTCTAGATTCCTGCTATGAGTGAGACCATCCAATATTTTTCTTTTTTTTTTTGGCTTATTTCTCTGAGCATGATGCCTTCCAGCGCCATCCATGTTGCTGCAAATTGCATGTGTTTATCTTTTTTGAATGCTGAGTAATATTCCATGGTATATATGTACCACATCTTCTTGATCCAGTCATCTATTTTTGGGCATTTGGGTTGTTTCCAAAGCTTAGCTATTGTAAATAGTGCTGCTATAAACATAGGGGTGCAGGTGCTCTTTGGAATTGATGTTTCTGTGTCCTTTGGGTAAATACCTAGGAGTGGAATTGCTGGATCCTATGGAAGCTCTATGTTTAGTAGGTCCAGAAATCTCCACACAGCTCTCCATAGTGGTTGGACCAGTCTGCACTCCCACCAACAGTGCACAAGAGTTCCTTTTTCTCCACACCCTCGCCAACATTTGTTGTTGCTAGTTTTTTTAATATGTGCCATTCTCACTGGTGTGAGATGGTATCTCATGGTAGTTTTGATTTGCATTTCCCTGATTGCAAGTGATGTTGAACATTTTTTCATATGCCTGTTGGCCATTCACATTTCCTCTTCAGAGAAGTTTCTTTTTAGCTCTTCTGCCCATTTTTTGACAGGATTATTTTCTTTGTTGTTGTTGAGTCTCATCAGCTCTTTGCAGATTTTTGTGATCAGTCCTTTATCATTAGTGTTGTATGCAAAAATGTTCTCCCAGTTGGTGGGGTTTCTCTTTGTTTTTGTTATTGTCTCTTTTGCTGTGCAGAAGCTCTTTAAGTTGATGTAGTCCCAGCTGTTTATCTTTGCCTTCACTATCACTGCTTTGGGTGATGTGTCTGTAAAGATGTCTTTGATGTGCAAATCACATAGTGTTTCGCCTATATTTCCTTCTATGTATTTTATGGTTTCAGGTTTTATGTCTAGTTCTTTAATCCATTTTGAGTTGATTTTTGTGTATGGTGTGAGGTAGTGGTCAAGCTTCATTCTTTTGCATGTAGCGACCCAGTTTTCCCAGCACCATTTACTGAACAAACTTTCTTTGCTCCAATGCATAGTCTTTGCTCCTTTGTCAAAGATTAGTTGACCATATATCTGTGGGTTTATTTCTGGATTTTCTATTCGATTCCATTGGTCTGTGTGTCTGTTCTTGTTCCAATACCATGCAGTTTTGATGATTATGGCTTTGTAGTATAGTTTGAAGTCTGGGAGTGTGATGCCTCCATTCCCTTCTTTTTTTTTTCAGGAGAGCTTTGACTATTCAGGGTTTTTGGTGATTCCATATGAATTTCATCAATAATTGTTCTATTTCTTTGAAGAATAACATTGAAATTTTTATTGGAATAGCATTGAATCAGTATATTGCTTTTGGTAGGATGGCCATTTTAATAATGTTTATTCTTCTAATCCATGAGCAGGGGATGTCTTTCCATTTCTTTGTATCTTCTATTTCTTTTAACAGTGTTTTATAGTTTTCTTTGTAAAGGTCCTTTACCTCTTTTATTAGATTTATTCCCAAGTATTTGATTTTTTTTTGTTTCGATAATAAAGGGGATGTTTTTTTTTTTCATTTCTTCTTCTTCAGATTTATTGTTAGTGTATAGGAAGGCTTCTGACTTTTGCATGTTGATTTTGTATCCTGCCACTTTGCTGAACTGATTGATGAGTTTAATTAGTTTTTCTATGGAGTTTTTGGGGTTCCCTATGTAGATTATCATATCATCTGCAAATAGTGATAGTTTGACTTCTTCTTTTCCTATTTGGATTCCTTGTATGTCTTTCTCTTGTCTTATTGCTCTGGCTAGGACTTGCAGCATTATATTGAAAAGCAGTGGTGAGAGTGGACATCCTTGTCTTGTTCCAGATCTTAATGGAAATGCTTTCAGCTTTTCACCATTGAGAATGATACTGGCTGTTGGCTTGTGGTATATGGCCTTTATGATGTTGAGGTATGTTCCTTGTATCCCAAGAATTTCAAGGGCTTTTATCATGAATGTGTGTTGCACTTTGTTGAAAGCTTTCTCGGCATCTATTAATATTATCATATGGTTTTTATATTTCTTTTTGTTGATGTGTTGGATAACATTGATTGATTTTCGGATGTTGAACCATCCTTGTGTCCCTGGAATGAATCCTCCTTGGTCGTGGTGAATTATCTTATGGATACACTGTTGGATTCTGATAGCTAAAATTTTATTGAGGATTTTTGCATCAGAGTTCATTAGGGTGATTGGCCTATAGTTTTCTTTTTTGTGTTGTCCTTGTTCGGTTTTGGTATTAGTGTAATGTTGGCTTCATAGAACGTGTTAGGTATTATACCTTCCTTCTCAATTTTTTGGAAGAGTTTGTGAAGGATAGGCACCAATTCGTCTCTGACTGTTTGGTAGAATTCATTTGTAAATCCATCAGGTCCTAGACTTTTGTTTCTGGGGAGGTTTTTGATTACCATTTCAATTTCGCTAGTTGTAATTGGTCTGTTTAGGTGTTCTATTTCTTCTTTATCAAGCTCTGGGTGATTGTAGAGTTGTAGGAATTTGTCCATCTCCTCTAGATTGTTGAACTTGTTTCCATACAACTGTTCATAGTAGTTATTAATTATTCTTTTGATTTCTGCTGTGTCCATTGTGATTTCTCCTCTTTCATTTATTATCCTGTTTATTTGTGCTTTCTCCCTTTTTTCCCTTGTGAGCCTGGCTAGGGGTTTATCTATTTTATTTATTTTTTCGAAGAACCAGCTCTTGGTTTCATTGATCTTTTGGATTGTTTTTTTAGTTTCAATTTCATTTATTTCTGCTTTGGTTTTTATTATTTATTTTCTTCTACTGGTTTTGGGTTTTTTTTTTTGTTGTTCTTTTTCTAGATCTTTGAGCTTCGAGATTAGGTTGTTTCTTTGAGTTCTTTCTTGTTTCTTGATGTGAGCATCTATTGTTATATATTTTCCTCTAATTACTGATTTTGCTGCATCCCATACATTTAGGAAATTGGTGTCCTCCTTGTCATTCAATTCAAAGAATTTTTTAATTTCTTCTTTGATCTCCTCGTTAGTCCAGTGGACTTCCAGTAGTGTGGGTTTCAATCTCCATGAGGTAGGAGAGTACCTTGCCTTCTTTTTATGGTTTATTTCTAGTTTGATGCCTTCATGGTCAGAAAAGATGGTTGATATGATTTCAGTCTTGGTGTATCTGTTGATGTTTGTCTTGTGCCCCAGTATGTGATCTATCCTGGAGAATGATCCGTGTGCACTTGAGAAAAATGTATACTCGGATTTTTTTGGGTTTAGTGTTCTATAGATGTCTGTTAAGCCCAAGCACTCTAGATCCTTATTTAGAGCTTTAGTGTCTTTACTTATTTTTTGTCTTGTTGATCTATCCATTGTTGATAGTGGTGTGTTGAAGTCTCCCACTACATATGTGTTTTCTCTGATGTCTGTTTTCAGAGATGCCAATAGTTGTCTGATATATTTTGGTGCTCCTTCATTTGGTGAATATACATTAATGAGTGTTATTTCTTCTTGAAGTATTGTCCCCTTGATCATAATGTAATGACCACTGGGGTCTCTTTTTATCTTTTTGAGTTTGAAATCTGTTTTATCTGATATGAGTATAGCTGTTCCTGCCTTCTTTTTTGGTCCATTTGCTTGTAGAATTGTTTTCCATCCTTTAATTTTGAGTCTATTTTTATCTTTTGCAGCTAAATGTGTTTCCTGGAGACAGCAAAAGGTTGGGTTTTGTTTCTTAATCCAGCCTGTGACTCTGTGTCTTTTTATTGAAGAGTTTAGTCCATTTACATTTAGAGTTAGTATTGATATGTTAGCATCTGTATTTGCCATTGTGTTTGCCTTTC